CTGACAGGTGCAAATCACCTTACTCATTTGTTAAAGATGTGAATACTGAGCTCTTATTTTATATATAATGTTAGAATTTGGTGTTGCCAGTTGGTCACCAGTACTTTGCCCACAAGATGAACAGATAATTGACAGGCTATGTAAGCCTGTTTCTGTTTCTTCTACATGTAAATTAGGTTGACAGCTGTTTCAGCCTAAGCTCCAGAGCTAGGAATGGGAACAGTTATGTAATGCTTTCTAGCTTCATTTATATCCTTGATTCCCTGAGTGCAGTTGCTTGGGGGAGGATTCATGTATTGTCCTGCTAACACATTGAACCTTTTCTTGACCACCCTTTTCGGGACCTTTTCCCTCCCAATTCATTGACAATCAGGGAACAAGAGCCTGTTTTTTGTACAAATTGCTAATGAATGCAAATAATACCTCCTATTAACTTAATAGGTTTAGGGTTCACATTGGTTAGTTTTGCTGCCTACAGCTATTGGATCTGGGATTGAATTCCAACCCTACAGTACCTTCTGCACGGGGTTTGCATGTTCTCTATATGTCTACATGGAGTTACTCCAGATATACTGGTTTCCTGCCACATCCCAGTGACATGCTGCCGAGGTATCTTTCAGTTGTCGCTGTGTGCTTGTTTGTGTGTTCAGTATGTATGCATACCCTGTGATGAACTGGCATGCTAGCTTAGTCTCTAGTCCCAGCTTGCTTTCTTGGTTTCTGGGACAGGCTCCGGATCTCCTCACCTTTTTAAACTTGCCAGGTGGGAAACAAACCAAATATACAAGTTACAGTGCCAGAAAAACAAATTGTGAACCCCCAATATAATCGGGAATTACAGTTTCTTAAAATTATGTATTGTTTTTTAAGAAAACAAAAGAGTTTCCTCCCATTATTCTCGTTTCTTTGGTTAAGGTGATCACTTTTGTACCCTGAAAGTTAAATTCCCAAAGCAAAGACTCATTTCTTCTTTTTTCTGTCAAAGTTAAGATAAGATCACTTTATTAGCCAGATACAATCTCTTGGATTTTCGCATACCCCAGCTTGCTCTTCATGAGACGCACAAACATACAAACAGGGAGAGAAGCTTGGGGTCAGAGTGCAGGGTCAGCCATTGTACAGTGCCCCTGGAGCAGTTGGGGTTAAGGGCCTTGCTCAGGGGCCCAACGGAGTAGGATTCCTCTGCTGGCCGCAGGATTTGAACTGGCAACCTTCCACCCACAGGTACAGATTCTTAGCCACAGAGCCACCCCGTTACCTGTGCTGTATAAAAGTGGAAAAAAGCTGATTCTTGGCTTTTTAAAGAAACTGAATGCTTAAAGATCAATACTGCCCATGCCTCTCTCATGCATATTCTGTGCCAAAAAATGACCTTTTTAACAAGAGTTTTACTGTCTCTTCAGCATAATAAATATTTCCTGACTTAAATAGAATTTAGATCAACAAAAAATTATATGCTATGTTATCCTGGCCCATGTTACGTCTTCTGAAAATAAAATTGATTGCATTAAAAACTAGTGTGCATTTGAGAAGCCATTGTCTGTGTTATTAAGATGAATTGGTCCCTATGTGTTCTGTTGGCAGACAGTGGGCAATCTGCCCACTTCAAAGCTAATTAATAAGATGGGCTATTTGCCTACACTTTTCTTACAGAGAAAATCGGGTACATAATTTTAAATTTTGGTGTCTAAGACCACTGAAAATCAGATTTGTTTTAAGGAATTGAACGTTTTATAGTGAATTAAAAAATGTAGTTTGCAGCTTAAATGTTAAGGTACTTCAATTTAAAGAAGAATTTTTGGCAGTGAATGATTGAGTCTAAGATCAAAATAGAAAACAAAAAGGCTAAATCATAAGACTGGAATGAGTGATGATTTTCTTCTCTAGCAGTTTAATGGTATTAAAATCTTGAGCCAAAAGGTTCCACACACCTCTGTACCATTAAAACATAATGACTAATACTGCTGTCTGATTATCTGACTGAAAAATAAGAAAAGCATTGTAAAGATTTGATAATTTTTTTCTCCTGTGGAGCTCTACGTTTTAACAGCAAGCTCTTTTAACATAGAAGAAAAAGACTGAGGCTTTTACAATGCAATGATAAAAGCTCAATGTAGATGTAGATTACAGTTGCCTTTTCTCAATTCATTCACCTGTCATCGATAGAGCTCCTACATTATAACCATTTTACCACTAACAGAAGATGGAAGAGCTGTTCTTGCTGCAATAGATAATGCTTTAATGCCTTTAAGTTATCTCTCTTTGCCTTTGTGATTTTGGGTGAGTACTAACAATTGTGACACTTAGTTAATGGTTCTTTGATAAAGTCATTTTAGGACTAAATAACTTCACATTAGTAAGAAACAAATGGAACCCCTGGAAATAACTCTATACAAGCAGTTTTACACTTGATGTGTCCAAAGTCTATAATGCCTAAGGTGCCTAAGGTGTGCCTTGACATATTCAAACCATGATTAGCAAGGAAAACTACACCAGTTTTGTAAATGTTTTTAAAATCTTACAGATGAATGATATTATTAAACCATATGGATAAGGAAGATTTTCTAGATAATGATTTACAGGTTATTCACTCATGAAATAATTAGTTAGATCTGAACAATTCTAGAAATATTTCAGACAATTACTACTTGTTACTTATTACTTCTGTGATTCCATATTTGCAGCATTTCAGACAATTATGCACTGCCTGGACTACTGTGCTATTATGGACTGTCTACCAGTAGCTTAAGCCATCTCATCTTAGTCACTAAGACACAATAGTTTTGTCTGTAGAAGTAGTCTTAGCAGACCAATGGAAGCACAATACAACATTCTGAGGGTTGGTGGGAACATTCCGAACAATGTGAATGACTCAGCCGCACTCTGTGAGAAGCACGGTCTACAACACCAGCAACCTGTCATTGCTTAGCAGAAAGCAGTGATTATTGACACCAGTGCCTGTATAGCTAAAACTTTACAAATAGTGTATTTAGATTCTTATTCCAACAATTTCTTAGATTTTTTTTTTTCCTGTGGGCTTTTCGTTAGGGTAGCTGAGCCATTTCTGACAAAAAGGCAGAGCTCGAAAATGCTTTTTAATGGCCTCAACTTTTATCTCTGTGGGAGCGTTCCTGATTGTAGTGAACAGTTGCCCTCTGTATAGCTGTCAAATGGTGTAGTTACAGTGTCAATCAAAACTGTAACATGGATTTCCGGACCACAGAGTTCTTAGATGCCACTGTGATAAAAAGCCACAGAGCTGTGACAAAGGAAAAGGAACGTTTAAAAATATGTAATACAGATTGCTGTTATTTAGTGTTTTTCAACACAAGTATCCCGGCATGTTTTGAAAGGAAAGTTACACAGCAGTGTGCACTAGTGGTTAGGGCTCTGAACTGGAGTGTCATTAGTTCAGAGGCAGGGTAGGATGCTGCTGTGTACCCTTAGGTAAGGTATTTCACTCGCATTTCTCCAGCAAATGCCCACATGTATAAATGCTTTCTTTCAAGGTCATAATTGTAAATGATAATTTTGTTCTTGTTTTTTTTATCTGATTAAATAAACAATTAAAAAATATATATAAATGTTGAATTGATGATGTTTCAGAAGTGTCTGCCTTTAATCTGAGCTCTGAAAAAATACTTTACAATGACCAGCCCACAAAAGAAAGCTTAATTATGGTTTTAATAGGATGACTGTAAGTCAGGGTAAAAACTGATTTGTATTTCGTGGAATCTGACATTATAATGCTCTGTGGTTAGCAAAACAAGGTCAGCAGAAAAAAAAAATCAAATGACATTCTCCTAGTCTACGGTATGATGCAAAATACTCAAGATTTATTGCAGATCATATGAGTACTGAAAGTCCCTTTTGTTGTATTGGTATATGTAATCAGACTTAAAATATCTTTCTATACAACATATGTATGTACGTTTTTCCTGCTTGATAGGATGTCAGCTGTTTTACAAAAGGTTTATTGAGGAAACCTCCTACACTGTAATCAGTAGGTCAGAAATTTCTCTCTCCAGTCAGTTGTTTTTATTCAGACATGCAGGATGTGGGGCTGAATATAGGTGGTGTAAGCAGGTTTCAAGGTCAGAGAGTATAGTGAAACCTCTGTCACTTTCTTGAAGGCGAGAGTGAGGCAGACTTGTATTCTCTACCACTGTAACACTTGATTTAACATGTTGTTAAGATGCCAGAATGTTAGTCCCATTTAACTGACAGGTGATCATTGTTATTTTTTGGCTGTGATATCCTTGTAAAATACATCTAAACAGCATCCTCTGGAGTCAACAAATTTACCAAAAATCTTGTAATAAGTCATTTTTTTAAATTTGTATTGCCACAATGCTACTTGGTCGACTGGGCACCCTGTCCCAGCGGGGCCACCACTTTAGGATTCCTGGTTACAGTCATGGTTGGATTCAACCCATGTTTGTACAGTATCAGCGATCTCTGGTCTTTAGGGCCTATCCTGTGCTCCAAATAAGTGGTAACGTTGCTGCACAGTTTTTGGTTTGATGACTTATGCTTATACCTTACATTCTGACATACTGTCAGCAAATTTCTTTACTTTGGAGAGTGCTTTTTCCAAACTGTCAAGACGCTATATTGTGACCTTTGTCTAAACTGCATCCATTGCCTTTAATTATTTAACAACAATAACTACTACAACACCTACAGTTACAGTTACAAAAACAACTACTACTACTACTATTATTATGCAAAGGAACAAGTAATAGGTTTATTCCATGATGAAAAGAGAAGAGAGAAAACACAATGTTTTGCCTTCTTCAGGCAGGCTTCACAGCTGAAATGTTGTATTTTCTCTCTTTTTTTTCTGTAATAGGCATAAACCTATTACTTGTTCCTTTGCAGACTACGCATGCTGACGCAGCTTCCCACCTGAACTACTACTACTACTATTATTATTTACTTCGTTCCCTTTGTGATCTAGGATGTTACTTTTCCTCTGGCTGTTTTGTGCTTTTTTGCAGGTACTTTACTTCCACACTTCCCTCAGGCACCCCAGTGTGGTGGCCATTGTGGAGGTGGTTGCCGTGGTACCGAAAGCGGATAGCTCACATCAGGCTCTAGGCTGTGGGTTTGGCATCTTGCGGCTCTTCTCCAGCCAGACAGAGCCAGGGGAGACTTCTGCTGCCAAACAGGACAAAAGGTGCTCGTAGCCTGTTTGTACAATGAGGTGAACTTCCATTTAAAAGAGATGTGCTAAAACATTGGGAACGTAATAAGCAAAAGGAAAAAAAAGTTTAAGACCACTTAAGACCACATTTCAAATTCATACTCTTCAGACAGCAATGGAACAAAACAGATCCATGCAGGTCGTGACAACACATATAGTATTGTGTCACAGAAAAAAAACGCCATTACAAATCATTGGAATTAATACGTATTGTTTACTGAATTGCACTGATTTATCCGGGACTTATTTTCACATTCCTTGAACACTAATTAATTGTAGTGAAGACGAAGTGATCTGAACCAGGTTTTCCATGATTCTTTTTATTGCAAACTGTGTATGTTCCATGTGTTAGTCTTCTAACTTATAACTGAAATGTCTACACTGTTTGTATGCAAACTATTTTTTCTACGTGATCATTTTATGAAGTGTTTTTCTTCTCACTTAATTTTAATATTAATGCATGCAGATTACACAATTTAGGCACAGTGTGAATCCTTACAAGCGTTATTTGTGGATTGTAATATAAAAATTCAGTTTCAACTTTTGGAGTTGGAAAAGCAGGTCACTTTAAGTATTTAAATAATTAATATATATTCCTTCTACCAATGAAAAACAAACACTGTCCAGACGAAAATTATTCACCATTCATGTTAGATCCAATGACACATTAATTATATTTTGTGCAGCATTTCTCTGTTCACATAAACAGTGTTTTAGAGACTTATAGTAAACTATATAAAAGCCAAGTATTCCACATTCTAATTTGATCACATTTGTATTGCATTTGCAGGGCATTAAGGGAAAAGCAGGCTTTCGTAAGAACATGAACATAATAAATGAGAGGAGAGTATTTGCCAATCTAGCAATGACAAAAGTAAGAGAGTTTACTCAGGAGAACAGGTTTTCTTATTAGTTGTCATGTAGCTCATGTTTTGGAAAACAACTGCTGAATGGTGCAATGTACAATATAAGCAGCCAAAACTCTCTGAAAGAAAAGTTGAAGATAGTGGTAAATTATCACTTGTCCTAAAGTTCACCCAAAATCCAGCCCTGAGTGCAACAAATGTCTATGTAGTGTGGGAATGTTAACCTTAACCCTAGCTGAGGTCTCAACAGCGCAATTCTGCAATGCGTCTGTGAAGTTCTCAAGTCTTCAGATTTTAAAACGTTGCTCTACACATAACCAATAACATTTGACAATCTGACAGGTTCTCCGTCTGTAGGCATAAACACTTTATTCAATGCTTTGGTTTTATCTGGAAAATAATTAAAATCAGCATTGCATATGCAGTGGAATATACAGAGAATGAAATACAAAGTAAGCAAATCAGTGAAAAGCTCATTAGAAAGCTATACTGAATTCAGGTATTCCTTTGTATATAGGAATTTCTTTACTACTGATGTACCAGACATACAAAATTGAAAACAATACATTTCTTTGCAGAATCATCAGTTAAGAATGATATTAATGTATCACTTTATTTTGCTCCCACAGGTTGAATCTTTATCATGGGACACCCAGGGTCTTGCTTCATCCTGCACTACATGACCCCTTTGAACGTAAGCTTGTTCACTTTTTCCATAAATTCCAAGAGAGAATGGTCAATATCCACAGCAATAATGAAAGATGTGGAACGTCATAATAGAATTTTCTTTCAGACTTCATGCATGTCCCTATCACATTCCAAAATGTTTGTTGCCCTCAGAAAAAAGAATCTGAGAAGTCTGAAGCTAAAATTAGTCATTTTATTAATTTAAAACTGAAAACATTTACATTACAGTTAGAGATTAGGTTTTCAATTAAAGTTTAATTTTTAACTTTTTAGGTTTCAACACCTTAGACGGTGATTCAGATATAAGCCAGCTCTTCTCGATTGGTCCTCCTGACATTTTTGTCTTTGGGATAATTTTACACCTGTTTTCACTATCTTATAGTGAAGTAACTTACAGCTGAACTATCTATCTAACCGTTTTCTAAGTGATGCATCTAGTACAGGCTTGCAGGAGAGCTGGAGCCTATTCAAGCAAGCAAGAGGCAAAACACAGACACACACACACAACAGGGACAATTTTCTCAGAAGCCTATCAGCCTATGACCGGTATGTCTGTGGACTGTGGAGGGAAACAGGAGGAAACCCAAGCAAACATAGAGAGAACATATAAACTTCATGGAGATAGCATCCCTGGAGCACACACACCTGCCATCCCAGCACTGTGAAGAAGCAATTCTCACCACTGTCCCAGCATGCTGAGTACCAGTGTAACCATCAGACATGCAGGAGTGAAAAACAAAAAACTCCATAAGGAGAAAAATGAATCTCTGTGGGTCCAAGGCCAGGCACTAGCTGTGTGAGGTGAGGTAGTATGTAGTGAAAGTGGTTTCGTTTTTAGAAGAAATTAATCTAAATTCATTTATATTCCATTTCAAGCCACAACTCACTTATTGTAACTACATGATAAACTGACCAGAAAGACCAAGCTTTTGGAACAAATCATGGATAAAATGGTATAAAGGCAGAAATCTGGTGAAACATTTTTTGAGTGCAATGAAGTCATTCAATCAGAAGCATGTGTAACATACCAATCAGACACTACACTAGGATCCTACACACTTTACTCACAAAAAAATCAATCTTAAACATTATATGAGATATCCTGCAAACATGCAGCTGAAGATTGTGTGGTGGATAAGTCATAAATTGACCGTTTTGGTCTAAGTGCAAAGTGTTATATCTGACTGAAGTGTAGCACAGCATGTCACCCAGTGTGCTCGTCCCAGCTGTCAAGCATGGTGGCAGTAGCATCATGTCCTGGTGATGCTTCTTCTGGGAAACGTGCTAGGATTTTGGAAAACATTGAGGTTGCATCCAAGAACCTAAAACATGATCGAATATTTATGTGGACAGTGACCTGAAGCACAAAGCCAAAGGTCTAGACAAGAAGTCCCAGTCAAAGTCCTGACTTGAATCCAACAGAAAATGTATGGTGTGACTTGACGATTGCTATCCTCAAAAACTTCCCTACTGTTCAATGCTGATAGAAACATATCCAGCACTCATGGCAGCAATTGTTGCTAAAGGTGCTTCTACCAAATACTTAGGTGGAGGCTGAAAACCCAATCAATACATTTCACTTTGCATATCTTCTTTACGGATTTTGCTTACATTCAAACACCTTCATATAAAACACTTACCAAAACAATTATCAAATTTTGAACATTGCAGCTTTAAATAAAATGTATTTGAAAAAATATATACATTACTTGTAGTTCATCTGAATTTGATATTATTGGCAGGAGAGTTTTGCAAGACATTTGAAAGCTCTTGACAGCTTCAGAACTGAAAAAAACAAATCCAATAATTGCATATTATTAGTTGGAAAAAAAGGGTTCAGTGTGGATGTCTTTAGAACTAGGGTTGGTATTCTAGTAGAAATACCCAAATCAGACCTAATCTTTTTCTAAAACTTTTATTGAAATTTAAATTTAGATTGGTATGTATTTTATGTCTAGTTAATTAAGTCACCCATAAAAGTGTATACGTTAAATGCAGGAATATTCCTAAAAACCAGTTTAGCTGGAAAATAATGTTTTTTTTGTTTTTAGGTATTGTTAGAGTGGCTGTTATGGAAATTAAACAGATCTGTGTGGAAGATTGTTCGTGATTTTTTTAACACATTAGTGTTATGCGTTTTGTTAATTTGGACTGATTCACACCACTGCAGCCATGACATATTGGAACCAGAGAGAAAGGGCATTTGGCAATTTGTGGAAGTCGCCTCCACACTTACTCAGACAGCACGAAGCACAACTGTCACACCTCTGCCTCCCAAACTGTTTCATTTTGTGTGAAAAATATTGTGACACAAAACCCTGTCTTACAATGTGAAAAACACAATTTCCAACCTAAATAAAATGCTTTTGCAATTGCATTTGCATTTGAAATATTTTTGTTTGTGTTTGTGTCTGATATATTCCAAGAGAAACTTATAAAGATAAATAGATTGAGACTTGTTCTTGTTTGGCTAAGGCCTAAATCCACTGTCCTGCATCATTAAGTGGATTCCTGTAATGGAAAATACTCTACCAAAATGATCTTCTAATGGCAGTTTGAAGTTATACTATAAAACAACATATCTGCCACAGCTACATTTTGTGGATGAGCAACTACGGCAATTTATGCAGACAGAAAGATACACCGTTTCTGGTCTGATAAATCACAGTACATTAAAGAGATCAAAGCAGCAGTACGTCTGTAACATAAACTTCTGTTTTTGGCAGAACTGAAATGGCCAATGTGACAGGAAAAATTGTTTGAATTATTTTGAGTAGTGGTGATATGAATATGAAATTTGAGAACTGCTCTAAGGATATCCTCTAGATGTACCACTGTACTAAAACTGTAATTTTCAGTTAATTATACAGCTAATTTACATTTGAAATGGAAAACGATTAGAAGAGCATCATAGCTTATGTGAGTGTGTTTGAATGCTTTATGCTTCAGTACACATTTACAGTGGCTTACCTGTAACTAATATAGCCATTTAAAGCACACTTATCATGCCAAAGCATCTTACTAGGATATATAAATATCTCTTTTCCTCTAATACCAGAATCCCATGAAAATAAATAATTTTGGAATTAAAGATACTATATTATTTTCTGTGGCGTCTGAACATGCACAGCCTACTGCTGTCCGCTAACCCACAGTTTATAGGCATTTTTCACTTGTCTGCTTTTATTCTGCCTTCCATGCTCTTTGTGTGAGATTTAAAAAAAACCTTTAAAGTGGAAGAAGAAAGCACAATGTCTTGCTTCAGTATCTATAATCCCCTTTATTGTGTAATTTTATGGAACAGCACTGAACATTTCAGCTTGGATTGGTGTAGCCCTACCCTGTGTGAAGAATAAAAACAGCTTTATGCCATGCCAGGTTTTAGCGAAAATATGGATGATTTCTCTTTTGAAGTCACTGTATGCAGCATGAGCAAAAGAAAATCATAAATCATGGCCTTCTTAAGGAGCTCACACACCTGCCATAGGTGCTTCCAAGACCTCCACCCTTTTATTTGCAAAGCACTTATCCTCAAATCCAAGATCCACACTTCTTCTTGGGATAAATATAATCCTGATGATAGAGGCTAATCATTACATAGTGTGTGCTTTGAGTCACAGTCTCCTGTAAGTCGGTTAGTTTATTTCTGTTGTCTTTTTTTTTACTGAAATTGCCCATGAGTGTTTCAGACTTCATTTTAAACCAGCGAGGAAATGAACTGTGAAAGAAAGCAAAACAAGAAAAAGAGAAGAAAGGCATTACAAATTGCCGAAACAAGTATGAAGTCTTATAATGATATTTAAAACTTTTTGTTTGGGAAAATGCAAATGTAAACCTTGGAGAGTTTAGAAAATATGCTGAGACTTGCTAATGAGTTGTTTTATAAGCAGTCCTTTCAGCTCTCCACAGTATTGTAAAGGAAGAACTTCCGTCATTGGTTGGTCTGAGGTTTTTATTGCACCTTTTGGTAATAAATTAGTTCCTTTTTTAATTCCCATTCCTTTAGGCACATCTATGCTATGGCTGCCTGTTGTTATTTCCTGTTTAATGATTCTATTTATCTTGGGAAAGCACTGGTTTTGTTTAAAATTCTTTGAGAATCTGTGCAGTGTTGTTCCTTCAATAATGGATCAGCCACTTGGGTCAGAGGATCGCTACATTTTATTAAAATGTAATGGGCGATGTTCTTGCTCTCTCACTTTTCTTCCACGGTAAGTACTTTGGGGAAAGTTATTGCTTCCCATAACGAAGTTTTCAAAAGCTTTGGGTTATCTATCATGCTATAAGTCCTGCTAAGAATTTGCCATAACCACAGACTGAATTTTGGGTTTGTTGCAGAGACATTTGAGTCTTTCTGACATTGAGACCTTCGTTTACCTCTAAGGAGTTTATATTTAACTGCCTTCCTCAGTTTTGAAGTCTTCATTAATCACTAAGTTTTGGTCACGTGGACCACTTTCCTGACATAATAAGCCAGCGATTACCTCAATGTGACTCAGGAAAACATGAAATGCTCTGAGGTGTTAAATGCTAAAATATCGTAGTGCCCTTTATAATTAATTATATATATATATCTTCAGCTGTATGCAACTGTATGGTCAGTATATTCCTGTCATAATATAATAAATATTCATCATTCTTACTAGGCCAGGGACTCATGTCCCAACTGAAGTGTCTCGTTTAGTCAGCAGCCATATCAGCCTGCAACTCACAACTGGTAGCCCATTGAAGCTCAGCAGGTGTGAGCCTGGTCAGTACCTGGATGAGAGACCTCTTGTGAAAAACTAAGGTTGCTGCTGGAAGAGGTGTTAGTGGGGCCAACAGGGGGGCGCTCACCCTGTGGTCCATGTGGGTCCTAATGCCCCAGTATAGTGACGGGGACACTATAGTGTAAAAAGGCGCTGTACTTCGGATGAGACAACCGAGGTCCTGACTCTCTGTGGTCATTAAAAATCCCAGGGCTTTTCTCTAAAAGAGTAGGGGTGTAACCGCGGCATCCTGGCCAAA